CACTTACCCATCACAAGCTCTCGGAAATTAACATACATGAGACCAGGTGAGTATATTGCTTTTGTTGAGTAGAAGATACTATTACGTTAATCGGATTTCGAGGATTTTATGCAATCAGTCACACAGTACAAGACAGTTCTTTATGAACGATGAGATTTTATTACAAAACGTACAGTCCTTTAAATACAGGATTCAGCAGCAATATTCCCAGAATAAATCTCAGAAGGTCTTCACACCTTCAACAGCACTCAAACACAATTATCAGTGTTTAAAAATACACGTATGTAAAAGATTATTCGCAGGAACAGCCGAGCTATTCGGTAATTATGAAATGAGTGGATTTCTCCACTAATTTCTAGAAGAATCCAGAGGGTCCAAAACTCACCAACATGGTCGCCAATGACTCCAAAATGGTCACCAAATATGATTGTCAACTTGACTCTATCACCAAGTTCTCATTGAACCACCATTATAACGTAAGGAACGGCATTGCTTTTGAATATTACACAATTTTAACATATAACATAGAGTAATATAAATGCCTTACACATCCAAATACAAATAATGTACACTTATTTACACAAAATTTGCATCAATACGATTAAACTGAATTTTGCAGAAATCGAATCCCAAGGGAGGTTGTGAGGGATTACGAGTGTAATACAACTGAAACTTCCGGATCTTGAACTATTATATCATCTGACTTTAAATTTGGCAAATATGTTCTTTTTATTGAGTAATGGTCTATCAAGAATCACTTTTTGAATAATATGGAGTTATGGAGGGTTACGGGGATGTTTTATTTAAAAATTATCCATTTTTGTGTGAATTATTAAACCTACAAACTTAAATTTTACGAACAATATTTCTTTACTTCAGAAGCGATCTGCTAAAAAAAAGGGGGGGGGTGACTATGGTTAAGGGTGGAGTATTAAAAGATAATTATACTTCTGTATAAACAATTTACTCGTATATACTAAACTTTTTAAATCAAAAAGCCTATATTACTCTTTTCAAATGCAATCGAAAATTGAATGCTATGATTAAGGGATGGTTTAAAAATAGTATACTGTCATGAAATATATTCAGCAAAGCGGGAGTGTAACTGTTAGTTCTAAAATAACCATTATATAGGAATTGATTTTTCGTATAAATTAATTACTCAATTTTAGAATATACAGAGTTTCCAGAAAGCTAGAGAGTAATTCAGTAATTAATTTATTTCAATGAAAACAAGGTCATTCTTTAATCAAATGTCATTTTAATCTAAAGATGAATAGTTAAACTTTAATGTAGCCTTTAAGTTCCTACTTATGATAACAGTCATGACTTAGAGCCATCACTTATTTCATAACGTAGGATTTAGAACCCATTAACTTAAATCCTTTGTTTAACAATATCATCCTGGATTATGCTGATGCTGTTATGTTACTGGTTCAAGTACACCAGTTGAGAGTATATTTAAGGAAGTGTAAGATAATTTGGCACATATATTATCTCACAAATTACATTATGTAGTATGGGATATGTAACACAGAAATGGAGCGTAGGGGGTGAAATATAAAAATGCATGAAAAACGTAAAATATTACAAATGTAAAACATTAAAAAGAAATAAAACGTTTCAATATAGACAGATCAATTATTACTTATCACATTTAGGTAAACAATAATTAATTATTTTCATGTTCCATATAAATTTAGCTTTATGTATAAGCAATTAAGATTTCTCTTATTTTAGAAATACTTCCTTAAAACTTTTATTTATATTCTAAAACTTGAATTAATACCTTAAAGAATGTTATCAATGTATCTTCCTATATTTCTAAACCAATGTTTACTGTTCACGTGATTGTGAAATATTTAAATTTTCGTCCACAATGTATACATTACATGATTTTAATAATTTTTTTATGATTAAAAAAAGTATTACCAGACTGATGCACAAATTTGCAGTCGGTATGTTTGGGTAATATTCACGAGAAGGCTCCTGTTGTCATACCAAATTGCTCCCCAGACCATAACTCTAGGTGTAGGTCTAGTGTGTCTAAGCCGCAGACAGTTTGGTTGCAGGCATTCCCTGGCCTTCTTCTGACCAACACATGGCCATCACCGGCACCAAGGCAGAACATGATGAAATTTTAAGATACATACACAGGGTGTTTATAAGTGAATATCGGAGTTTTAGTGCTTTAGAATATTTATTACATTTAACTTATTTGTATAACTCATACATGGAATGGAAGACCAACTGAAACAGTTTTATTTGCTGGCATGTGTGCTGATGCTCTACAACTATGGCTATTTATTTAATTGAAAGAAAGGGAAACATAACTTCATATAGCAGCAAGAAGGTTCACCGCCTGGCATCTGTCAGTACGCGAATGGTTGAACATCCCTCTACTCAACCAATGGGTTTTCCGCAAAGGTCCTCATGATAAAGCTTGTTTGGCATTACCACTACATTCACACGTTCTGACGCCAAGTGATTTTTACATAGGGGGTTCGTTTAAGGATTGGGTGTACGCACCTCCACCACCATCTGACCTTCCAGACTTAAGACACAGGATTGAAGCAGCTATTGCAAGCTCAGACACACGGAACAAAGTTTAGATGAACTCGCCTATCGACTTGATGTGTGCCGTGTGACAAATGGGGCTCACATTGAACATTTGTAAGCTTGAAGGTAAAACTCTTTCAGTTACTCTTTCATTCGATGTATGAATTGTACTTACAAGTCATGTGTAAAGCATAAAAACTCCGATAGTCATATAGAAACACCCGGTATTTAATTAACCGTCAAATTCTTTTCTGTATTTATTTTTGTCCACACGAATAAATACGAAATTAAAATTTTTTTAACAGATTTCTCTCCGGAAATAAACTTGAATTTTGAGCTGAGGAGGAAAGTACTATTAATCTTATACACAAGAATTTTCAGGAAGCTAAAACCTAATTTCAAGCCTAACCAATATTATCAAAGTAAATATTACAGTCTTGGAATCTTGGAATGTTGGGTTTCTTTTTTTCATTACTCGATTTGACACAATGTTGATATGAAATGCATATGGAAAGGTTTTATTAGAATACTGCATGAATTTAATGAAGGTAATTAAGGTTTTATTTCCGCTTGCATTTAATTTGATCACGTAGAAAATTATTCTATTTTAAATGACAGACATATAATTATTTTGTTAATTAAATATTCAGTTAGTACTTTTTTCTCTTTTTTTTCAAAATAGAGTATACTTATTTTTAAAGTTTTAAGCAACATTGTGTGTGTGTGTGTGTGTGTATACTTGTATCTAATTAAAAATCATTAAGATACTAAGAAAAAGGAGAAATTTGTTTTTTATTTGCGTTCGCGTCATTTAGTAAGAGTTCTTTTTGTACTTGTTTCTGCTTAGAGCCAACTGTTTTAACCTTTTTGTAATTAGTTCGAAAAAAGTAGCGATCCATCCATATGGTTGGGATCCGCTTTGCTTATTAAAATGTGTTAAATTTACAGTCTTTTCAGTTATTTTAGTCAACAGATAGATTTTATCATATACCAGTAAATACTGAATGATTTCAAATATTCTATTATTCGGAATATTTACTTTTAATCAAAATATAGCTATACATATTTTATAATATTTTACGTAAAATCGGCTTTATTTTACAAGGAAAACATTATTTCTTTCATTGCTTTGCTTATGTAACATTTAATAAGCTTCTTACGAAGTCTTCGTACATATAGCACAAGAAAATTCTTTATTCAGTCTATTATATTAAAACGATTATTTAACACGCAAAAGAGGCTTACACAAGAAAATTTTAACCGATATTTAAAAGCACAATTAATAAGAGAAATATTTATTGAACGTTTGAAAAGAAAAGAGTAAAATTCATTCAAAAGCATCTACATCATACAAATTTATTATGTTCTTGTGGGTTTTTTACATATATTATCTATAGGTATACATGTACAAGATATTTTTTAGATTAATATTTAGATATTTTTTTTTTAAATAGAACACATTTTTAAAACTTAGAAACAATTTCAGACATAAAAGACTCGTTGAAAATTGTTATAAAAATTTAAAATTCATGATAGACTAATATAAAATTTTACTAAGAAGTATCTATACTTGTTTTCATTATAAAATAATTTTGCTTGAAAATTCTATATATTCCAGTTAAGCTGTGCAATTATTTAAAATTTTTGAACAATTTATTATTATTTGTATTGCTTGAATAAAGTTAGATTAACTAAGATAAATAACAGGAATATAATTAAACTGACTGTTTAAAGGAATTAGTTAAATATTTGTTCGACACTGAACAGTTTCCCCATTTATATTGATGGATACTTTAAGAATAGTAACTAATCTTTTTCTGGTGTTATATGAGCACAGGATTCTGAAGTTTGTATGCATGTGTAAACAAATATTAAGCCACACTTTTTCTTTTAAAAAAGAACCAAAAGTTTATCCGTGTTTACTAAAAAACATCCATCATTCTTAAATCTTTGGATAAGCTCTTTAATAAAAGAATTCCTAGATAGGGAAAACAAAAAATTAGAAATGCACATATGTTTGTATTGAACATCAGTAGCATTATATTTTAGGAGCATTGTATTTTGTTTTATATAAAAATACTATATTTTGATAAAAAATAGATCGATCAAAAAAAAATAATTCATATAATTATATTTTTGTTTGTTATGTTTACAAATAAACAATATCCAGATACGTTAAATCTCAAACTGAACAGTTTGCTCAAACAAATAGTTGATTTTTCAATTCCTACTATTAATTCACTCTCTCCCTATATATAAATATATATATAAAAATACTTTTTATTCATCCATCGAAGTTAAAATACATTTTTTTAAACTTGTAGTGAATGACACTTGATGTTATTACAATTTTTTCAAATATCCATTCATTAATTAAATTTAAAAAATTAATAAATAGTAACAAACAAATAATTGTCCAAAACATATACAGAAAGAGTAATCGTTCGATGTGTATCTGTAGCGCAATGGACTTCTAATCCATAGGTCGTGGGTTCGAATCCCATTTCGAATGACCTAATTTCTGAGAATGGGATTTCTTTTTTATTATACTATTAGAATAATTAAATTTAATTAATAAATAAATAGTGAGAAACAAAAAAAATGATCCAACACCCTATATAGAAAGGAAAATGAAAAATTGCAAGGAAAATCGCTTTCTATTTTGTCATTTAATATTGTGATTCTGTCTCATGTATATACATATTTATTTAATTGTAACTATTAATAAAAAGTAACTAAAATAAAATTTGTCTTGGTTCACCTAGTAGGAATTGACTTATTATATATATATATATTACTTGTTTGATATGCGTTTAAGGATATCAATGCTCAAATACTTGTATTTATAATATTTCAATTTACTGGGTAAAACTGGATTATTTTTTATAAATATTATAATTCTGTAAAAACAATATTTATTCATCATGTATTCCTAAATATAAATAATAGAAAATATTCTCTCACTAGAAATTTGTGTATTTTCTTAATTCTATACAAGAAAGATCTTTTCCTTAAAACAAATATGAACTCTTTTATCAAAATACATCACAACATCCCTTTACACTTTAAGAGAATTATTTTAAAGAAATTCTCCCACACAATCAAATTCTAGTTTCAAAATTTCTCATTGTAAAATGATCAATTTTTTTTATAAACTTATTTTATTTAAGTACAGTAACAGCCTGAACTTATGCGATAGGTGGGACAGAATTATTACCGCTTAATCGAATGCGGGAAGTCGTAGTATAATTTCACACATGAATGCATTTAAATTATTTTTAGTTTATGTAGGAGACGAAAGGAAATAATAAATTCACTTCTGAGTTATATATTTCAAAAAAAACAGTTGAGCCCCTTTAGAGAGATCCGGCTTTATACAGGCAAAATATTAATATAATAGAAGCATTTTTTTACAAAAGGAGAATCGTTTGAAAATGGGCCATTCTATGTTCATTTTTTGTCAAAATATTGTTCTTAAATAATTTTTATTGCAATACTATTCTTAAAACAAATTTATATACATTTTTAAATTTAAGTGACACTAAATCATAAAAATTTATCTATTTTCCCCTTTTTTCAAAAAACATGGGTTCCGACCGTAGTCGGATATCTTAAGGCACTTGTTTTGACCGAATTCCCTTGCGACCATTTTTGTTCCAAAGCAGCTGTTCCTCTATGAACAGGCTACATTTTCCCCCTGTGAACAACTTAGTTGTTTTTATTGCTGGATTGTACGACTCATTATGGATTATAAATGTAAATGGACAGGGGTTATAAAGAAAGCAATGGGCATCTGCATCTATTAGATGAAGTTTAAATTGATCAAGCAATAGAAGAACCTGATGAAATAACGGATTTTAATCCTGCTAGAGCAGTGCTTCCTAAAGGGGGGTTTTTGAATAATATTGAATCATAATTTCATCCGCCCCCATATAACAATATGTATTTAATTCAATAAACTATCTTTGACCCCAAAACTGCGAAAAAATTTAACCTTTTTTAAACACCCCCCGGGGTATATAAACATCTCGTAACAAAAAGGGTTTTTTTCCTCGGACGTATATATACGTCTTTCTGAAGTATGATTTTTTTCTGTGCAGTGTTATCCATAAAATTATTCCGAAGTCTTTGGAATGCAATGTATGGACCTTGACAGTGTTTGCGAAGGATTGACTTATTTCAGATTATTTACTCTTCTTTATTCCCCTTCCCCGTAATACATCACATACGCGTGCCTACGTGGAAAACGGTTGCTATTTGGAAGCGAATCGTTTAATATTTAATCGGCAGTTAAGGGAAAAATTATAAGCCGGATAAATTATCAAGATGAGTGATAGTTTGTTTTCAATTTTACATATGATAAGTCCATGGGGCATTTAATTAACCCTCCATGAGGTCTGCAGAAAAAATTTCCCCCATTCCAAAATGCTTTTTCTGCCTTGAAGATTTCCCGGGGCCCAGCCGCATTTTAAGAATACGGTCAACCGCTTTTGAGAACCCCCCCCAGAAAGCAAAATAATAGTGGGTGCATTTTGAACACCTCCCGAATGGAAAAGCTTTTTGTAGACCATTTTAAGGGGTTTAAAAAACTTTTTTTTAATTAGATTGTTAAAATTTAAATATAAAATATTTTGTGTAGCACTGATACATTTATAACTATAATATATCAGTGTAAATGTGTATTTTATTTTTTTTTTATGTCAGAATGTTTTTTTTACTTCAGTAAATTAATATTTTTAAAATAATCTTTTTTTTTGACTTTTTTGTCTTTTTAAAACCCCCCTTAGATTTCCCACAGTTTGAGAAATGCTGTGATAGAGAAAGTAAATTTTAGAAAGCTGATGCAAATGAAACGTTTGATTTGAAAGAAAAGTTTTCAAATTATACCTAAAAAACTCCATCAAGAAAGGCATGGAACCACAAGGGTATCAAAGACATATTGTTTTGTCAAAAAGTCATAAGCAAGAAAAAGTTCAACACGCTATTTGTCGATCCTCAAGGAACAATAAAACTACAACAACTTGAAAAAAGCATTTTTTGCCAAAAGACCCAAGAAGTTAGCTAAAAGTGTCTGGGATTTGTGTCTTTTATTTAAGTCACACACATTTGAAACATTTTATTTCAGTTTGATTGGATTTTTTTCTCAAATTATCAAAGAAAATTGAAAAGTCCTTTTAAGATATTCGACTACCCTAAAATCATGATTTTTTTTTAAAAACGGACAAAATTGTTTTATGATTTTATTTTATAGACCTTATTAGCTTCATAAAAATACCGAGGTTCTTATTTTCCATTCACTAGAACAAAACCAGGTGTTTTTGTAAAAGCAGAACCATAACTTTACATAAATGTAAACTTTAGAATGCACTTTACGAAATGTGTTTTTTTAAAAAATCAAATGGGAACGATTGCTCAAAAGTTTTTAAAATAATTTGCTAAAAATTTTTTTTTTTTTTTTTTGTATATTGATTTTTACATTCAGATTTATCAATCACTGATTTATTTCAAAAATTACAGTTCAAGGAATATAATCAAGTTGTTTTAAGCAATTTTAATAACAACAAGATAAAGTGCTGTTGTTTTTTTTAAAATTAAACTATCTGTTTTCCTGAAGATCACTTCAAAAAAAAGGAATAGCAAAGTAACACATCAAAATGTCTTCGAAAAATTGAGAATTTGTTCATTTACTATTTAAAATAAGAACGGCCCCGTTTATGTAATATTTTGTCAATTTTTACCCATTTTTCCCTTATCTTACTAGTAAGTAACAATTTATTTTTCAATTCTAAATTTTAGTCTTTTTTTAAATGTACTAAATAAATCTAAAAAAACCACAAAAAATCTCCATATATCCATTATTTAAAAAAAAAGTTGTCGTAAGTAGTCGGATACCTTAAGTAGGTAAATATGTTTTCTCTTAAATTATTCACTGGAATTATGGTTTTTAGGGTGTACAATAAAAATGAACATAAAAAAGAAGTTTGGGGTAATTCAGTCACCCTACGTGACCACTAGCGTTAGTATTGAGAGCACGCCTTCTTCCGGGTTAAAGTTAATTTCGAATATTGTTTTCATTTTCTAAAAGCATATTCCAAATTATTTAAATAATCGGAAGCAGTTTTATTTTATAACGTTGACATCATATATTTACTTAGTTACAGTTCACTTTATAAGCATACGTACATTTAATAAATGCAACTAAAACAGTGTTTCTCAAACTGTGGGGTGCGCCTCCCTAGGGGGGCGTCACAACCCCTCAAGGAGGGCGCGAGCATATTGAAAAGTCGAAAACAAAAGATTATTTAAGAATATTATTAATTTTCTGAAAGTAAAAAAACAACATACAGTCTGAAATAATAAAAAATAAAAAACACATTTACACTGATAAATATATTAGTACTGCTCAATGCATTTTATAATTAATTTAACAATACTAAATTAAGAACGTTTAACAATTACCAGTAATCCATGGGCTCTTCATATGTAAAATTATATGCAAAAATTAACACTTAAAGATTTGTTCGGTTTATAATTAATTATTTCAATTCCAATTAAAAATTACGCGATTAGCTCCCCAATACCACCGTTTAACACGTAGTAAGGAGTGTATGTGGTATTGGGGAAGTGGGAGGGGTATTAAAGGAATAAATAAGCAAATCCTCTGAAATAAGTAAATCCTTCGTAAACGCTGTCAAGGTAATTTCATTGCATTCCACAGCCTTCCGAATAACCCTTTACAGATAAATACAGTTCATGGCAGTAAGATTGTATTTTGGAAATGTATGTATACGTACGGGGCAATTAACTTACTGGCTGAGTGAGACGTTTACATACGCCGGTAACATTTAATAAGGTTAAAGTCGAATTGTAGGTTTAACGTCAAAATATAGTATTATTAAATTTAATACATTGTTACTGTATGGGGGCGTGATTAAAAATTATGATTGAATATTGGGTTGCAAGTATTGAAAGTTTGAGAAGCACTGAACTAAAATATAAAAAATGGTTCTCAATTTTGCTATGAACATAAATAAAACTTAAATTTTTGATTTAAATGTAACTGCAGCAAAAAAAATATATATAAAGATCCTCTCTGAACCCGTAAGATTTTCTCACAAGTAGTACTTTCAGAACGGATCGAAGGAAGACAACTTCACTTCATCAAGAACAAACCTGTAACGATATCATTACCGACTTCGTAATATGTTCGTAAAATGACTTCAGAACTGTGACTGGCTCTAAGCAAGATTTTACATTCAGTCCCTGAGTTCAAATGAAAATCGTCGCTTAGGACTTTTATACGCCATAAACATTTGGTTTTACGATTCGCCTGTTGAATTTCCTACACGAGCTATTTTCACAGCAAGAGTTCTAGCGCTATTTCGATATTCTTAATAGTGTCATTTGGGATAGCTAGTGATTTTCTTTTAGTTCTTTTCACTTATTCGAATTTTAAGTATTTCACTTGTAAATATATTTGTGAATTATTCTCAAATAAAAAACTGTTATTTTT